GTCAAGAGACATATATGCATTATTTTTTATGAATTGTTTTTAAAATATATTTACGAATTATTTTCTAGCTCATATGAACATATGAGCCCAACGCTTCAAATTGATTCTGGGCCGATCTGACGATCACGGATGTTCGGTAGTGTTTTGAATTTTAGCTTTTTTTTTACAAATTCAAATTACTTAAAATTTTAGGCATATGTTCATCAAAAATAGGTGAATCTTTGAAAAATATCAAACATGAAATAAATTGATCAAAATACCCCCAAAATATTTTGATGGGTATTTTAATCATTTTATTCTTCACGAATAATTTTTTTTTAATTTTTATTAGGGGCGTCTTGATGAGAAGAACACACACCTAAAATTTCACGTGATTTGGATACGTAGAAAAAAAAAAAAAATTCAAGCACTACCTGACATTTGTGATTGTTAGATCGGCCCGGATTCAATATGGGCTGTTGGGCTTATATGTTCATATGAGCTAGTAGGCTAATTCCATATATATATATATATATATACCCTCCCCCACCCATGTGTATAGGACCTCAAAGGATCACCATTAAAATTGACATGGATCTCTAAAAAAAGTATCACAAGGGTGTAAGACTTGACTTTTCTATTGATCCGTGCTAAATTTAATGGTAATCTTTTGGGGTCCTACACACATGGGTGAGGGAGGGTTCTATAGGATCATTTCTCATATATATATATGAAAATAGTTTGGTAAAGCTGTAGTTCTATCAAAATAAATAAAACATCACCTCATAACTCATTGAAAATTGCAATTTAAGAATCGAAAAACCTTTACATCGATCATCTTGGCTTGAACATTACGGTTCTCAAAATAATTAAAGTCTTACATCAAAACTCATTGAAAATTACAATTTAAACATTGAAAAACCTTTACATCGATCATCTCGGCTTGAACATTATGGTTACTAGAATAAATAAAGCCTCACCTCATAACTCATTGAAAATTGCAATTTAAGAAGTGGAAAACCTTTACATCAATCTTCTCGGCTTGAACATTATGATTATGAAAGATTTTAAAGTCTAAAAATAGTGTATATTGTAACTAATTATCTAAACCGTCCATTGTTTTAGTAAAACATACTATTTTTTTAATCTTAAAATTTATTGTCCATGTTGGAAATTTTGAATTTAGTGGCCATTATGGAGATTTCTGTTGCTAAAAGCTCCTTACGAGCAAGGATTTGAGATGATGCGTTATTTTTTTTGCATAAAGCTAAGCCTTATAGCGACTTCATCTAGAAGAATTCATTCCCAAAAACTTAAATTTGACTCCAATAGGTGATAAAATGAGATAAAGTAAATTTAGTGGGCTAGTCATATATAACGCACACTCAATACAACACTTGCTAAGAGATACAAGTTTGTTCAAATGGAATGCTCAAAAAAGTCAAGAGATAGGCCAAAAGGGCAAATCCATTAGGTAACACGTGTTAGTCCAAGTCGAGTGTTCAAAAAAAACAATAGATAGGCCGAAGAGAGTATGATTGGAAATAGTGAAAAACTATATAGAAATTTATTGCCTCAATGATGGCATGGCTCTCGATATAGCAAAATGACAGAATTTGTATAACCAACCTCAAACAATTAAAAAAAAGTAATGATAATAATAATGATAATGATAATAATAATAATAATAATAATAATAATAATATTATTATTATTATTATTAAAAATTAAATCAAAAGACATGAGTTAACATGTTAAACAGTTAATCTCTCATCCATAAATATGTTTAATGTCCAAAGAATTATATCAATTTATTATTGTTAATATATTGTGTTGTCCGGCAGAATAACATCCATAAGAAAGAAAATAATAAAAGGGAAAGAAATGAGATTATTACACCGTAGTCCTTGAGCCTATTAGCTTGACAAGTGTGTGTATTGGTTATATGGGGTAGAGAAATCCTTGAGCCTATTAGCTTGACAAATGTGTCTTGGTTATAAGGTTTTCTACCCCAGTAACCATGAGAAGATGCCTTCCAACCTTCCAAAAAAAACAATAAAACAGGAGATCTTTTGCAATAAAAATACTAAATTTAATGAAACTCAATGAAGTATATAGGAACCTCTCCAAGTGATTAAATGCACTTTAAGAAAGAAGTCATCGCCCCCACCCTTAAAAAATCGTTCATCAAAAAATGAGGAGTATTGTCTAAAATATACTTCCCCCATCAACCATTCGGAATGAACGGCAACCGAGATAACCCCAATGACAAAGTCACACCTCTACACTATTTTATTTTAAAATTTTCTTCTACCTAACATTTTGACAGACATCCACTCCTCTTAAACTCAACCCTATAAAAAATATTTTTTTAAAAAATATTCCCAATAAAATAAAATAGCCAAAATACCCCAAAAAATTTCAAAGATATTTTAGTCTATATTTTATCAAAAATATTTTTTAAGTATTATTTTCAGGTGCATTGAAATGATGGCATGTACCAAATTTCATATATTTATATCATTTGTTAAAAAGAAAATAAAAATAAAAATCTAAGATCAAATGGTCAAATAGCTCATCTAAATTGGACCATTAGATAGGGGAGAAGTTTATATCTTCTAGTTAGTGGAAGTATAAAAACCTTTCACTTGAACAAATACACCCAAAGCCACAATCTAAGGGGAAGTATAAAAACCTTTTAACTTGAACAAATACACCCAAAGCCACAATCTAGTACAGTTTTTCCCTCGTATTCACTGCTGCTTTTTTTTTCTCCTAAAAGCAACCATTTTCTAAAGTTTTGTCAAAATTCCTTCTCACAATCTTCGTCTGCCAGTACAAAGGAGATGGGCTCGCAAAGTTTGAAGTGAAACAGCTATCTCTAAGGCCTCCCATGAAAACATGTCATCCCCACTATAATCTGTAAATATCAGAGTTCAAGCTTTAGCATATACCAACATGCAAATATTCTTTGGAATTAGGATAGTTCAACAAATTAACATCATCCCAACAAGGATGATCCCCTCCCAAAGGGGCATTTAATCCAGTTATCCCAAGACCTGCACATTTGCACATCACACAGTACCAATTGTCAGTAAATATCCAAGTATCTTTGCTTTTGAAAAATCATCAATTAATTTAGCCATACAACTAAAGCATTAGATAGAATATAAGCCCTTGCAACTTCAAATAAACGAAGTGATTTGTCCATTCATAAATAGCTCCACAAAAAGAACGACGCACATTTTAAATGGGTTGTTTCTTTACTGGATCATATCCCCAACACATTCAATCTTCGGCATCGTATTCTCCATTGGAGAACTTATCCTCTGGATAGTAGACGGCTATAACGACATTGCCCCCAAACTTGCGACCATTAAGTGCGGTTCTAGCCCTTGCAGCACCAGCAGGATCCACATACTCCAGGAACACCTGAAAAAAGACCACCAAAAAATCAAAAAGCATTCCTAAGTTGAAGTATTTTTGTGTGTACGAAATAGATAAGAGGGAGAGAGAGTAAGAGATAGATAGAGATAGAGATAGAGAGAGAGGGGATCTCAGCTGCCAACATACACAATTTGCAATAGTTTTCTCTCGATATGTTACCCCAGCACAACAAACCAAGGGTTAGTGTGGGGGTCACAAACTCACAATATTAAATAGAGGGACAGTTAAAAACAACAGCCATGAAGGGCATTTCTAATAGTAATGGATGCTAGTAAGAAATGGTATAACTTTATATAAAATGCAAGACGCGAAAAAGAGAGAGAGAGAGAGAGAGAGAGAGAGAGAGAGAGAGAGAGAGAGAGAGAGAGAACAAGTAGTAGTAACGTAGTACGTACGTTACGTTCGTTACGTTACGTACGTACGTACGTCGTCGGTTCGGTTACGTCCGTACGTAC